ACAGAAACAAGAAATTGCAAGTGGAAAGAGAGGGCTTGGAGCATGAATGGAGCATACCTTTGAAGAGAGAGACTGCTTCTTCCAACCCACCATGGTTCCTCTTACAGAGAGCTCGAATACGAATCTCTAACTCTCTTGGTTCAATGGGATCAGAATCCCCAATCTCATCAAGTACAGCAGAAGAGAAGTAGGGCAGAGCCTGCGAAGAGCGAGAAGAGGACAGAGACTGTGAAGAGAGAGAAAAGGGGCAGGGTCGTGGTAATTTACATAGGATCCTCTCCAGGGCGGGCATGAGCTAGGGTTCCACGGGTTTCTCGTATAAAGAGATCGATCTCTCTCGCTCTCTAGTCTATGTTCATGGATTTCTCGCGCGGGCATTCAATTTTATTTAGCGCTCTCTCTCTCTAAATTCAGGCATTCAATTTTATTTAGCTCCCTCTCTCTCTCTAAATTCAGGCATTCAATTTCATTTAGCGCTCTCTTTCTCTACATTTCAGGCATGCAATTTAATTTAGTGCGCTCTCTCTCTCAATTCAGGCATTCAATTTTCTTTAGCTCGCTCTCTCTCTAAATTAGGCAATTCAGTTTTATTTAGCACTCTTTCTCTCTCTCTCCGAATTCAGGCATTCAATTTTACCTCTTTATTTATGTAGTATGGTTATTGGAGTGTGGTTTTTTTTTTTTTTTGACAATTATTATCCTTTTTATATATATATATAAAATACACGAATGGATTGCTGTTGGGTAATGAAAAACATTTATTATAGTGGAAATAAATTTAGTAGGAGTGTAGTATCTCGAGAATCATACTAAGTAAATGATGTTTACTGATTCCGGACTGTGCTTGACGATCTAGGTCAGTTGGTTGGAAAACCCAAAGTATCTGGGTATAAAGAATAAATTGAGAAGAGTTTTAGATTAGCCCTTGATGAGGTCGGAGCTTATGTCTGGATGAGTAAGCTGAGGGACTGTGTAACTCTTGTGTATGATGGTAGGCCTACAGCGACGAGGGCCAAATCCTCATCAATGTTCCATCACACGGCATGCATATCGATAGATTGTTCGGGAAAGTCAGTTATCCACCTCTGGATGAAACGTATGCACGTACGAGAGAGATACCCCTATGCACCATAGAGCTGTAGTCTACAGACTGGGATTGCGACCCCTTGGCTCATCGGCCAGACTTTGGTGACCCGTTAATGAGCCATTGCTTGGACTGTGGGTCATGGGAAACACTGAGTCGGTTTGATAAAACAAGTGTGGTCTGTAGTCCATAGTTGAAAGTGGAGTACCCCATGATCGTTGATAGAAGATCAATTTCCCACCATTTTAATTTAATTGTGTTCATTTTATTATAGAAATTATTTAGATTTATTATTTGAATTTTTATTAATCCTTTAAAATATTTTATTTGTGATTTTTTAATTTATAAAAATAAAGTTATTGATTTTACAAAGTTATAAAAATTCAAATAAAAGTTTTAAAAATTATTTTTGTTATTTTAAAATTACATGAGGGCCCATAGTGCACATGAGCCCACCATATGACATGTGGGTGGGGACCACAGGTGCCACATGAGGGTGGCACGCACTACCCATTGGATTCTCGTTTTGTTTCTTTATGTTCAAGAAAATTGTATTATGGAAAGTATGTTTTAAGGGATATGGTCAATTTGGGTATATAATAAACATTGACCCTATCTTATTTAAATATAGAAGCATATATTAACTTGATAATATTTGACATATGCTTATGGAATATATGAGATGGAACATGCTACTTTATGAAATGAATTATATTTTATTAAATTTAATTTATTTGAATATATTGATTGGGAAATAGTTTAAGAAAAAAGGGATAATTGTTCATACATCTTCCATAATGTTAATGGCCCATCTATAGAATAGATGACTCAGATCACTCACCCCACAAGTCATTTTGATCAACGGTCCATATTCAATCTAAACAAAGAGGCAAACTATTAGAAACCCTAAAAAAATCTAAAACCTAAAACTTATTATAAATAGGGGTGCACACTTCTCTCTCCCATAAACTCTCTCTCTCCTCCCTAAGGGCCATGCCCCTCTCTCTCCTATCAGGCTTTCTCTCTCTAACTCTCTCTCTTCTCTAAGACCCATAGGGGGCACGTCCTAACCCTAGGTCTCATTCTCTCTCTCTTGACCTAAAGATACTAAGGGTTGGGAAAATTAAGATTTGAGCCTAATTATTTTGGAGTTAGGGTTTTGTAGAGATTTAAGGATGGTTTCCTAGTTTGGCCGAAATTTAGCTTTTCCGGTTCAAGAATGAAGCTAGACCGATGATCCCGTGCCATTGGATGTGGTGACTCGGTGTGAGCTATAATAAGCCCGATTGAGGTAATCTCCGGCATCTTCTCTTTTACTTTCTTGCTCTTTCATTTTATATTATTAAGCATAGTATTAAGTTGTAAAAATGACATCAAGTAGTTGAGTTTTATTTTATTATTGTGCTGCTTTATTTTGAAATATTTATTGATTATAAAAAGGCCATCTGTAAGTGATCCTTTTTCCAAAATACAAAAGGGGTGATAGTTATCATTAAAAAAAAAATTATATTCCCCGGCAAAAAGATTACATAGGCTTTATTTTCATTGGTATCAGAGCTAGTTTTACTTGATTGCCATTATAAGTCTTTTCCTCTTTTCTTTTTTTCTCTTTGCTTGAGAATACAAAAGGTATGGCAGCTCGTACTTTCATCTTAGTGATTATGAAAGCCGAAACGCTTAATGGGACCAACTTTGTTTCATGGAAAAGAAAAATCAAATTTGTGCTTTATGAGGAAAACTTGCATGAGGTACTTTTTGAGGACCGACCTCGTCGTCCAACTAACGACTCATATCAAGAAATCAAAGATAAGTATGCCAATTGGAAGAGGAGGAATCTGAGATGCAAACACATTCTTTATTTGTCATGATTGACTCATATGCTTTTGAGTATGAATCAATCTATACTGCAAAATAATTTATGATAAACTTGAGAGAGTGTATGCTTAATCTCTTATGAAGCAAACCATGGCTATGAGGAGGTATAATGAGTTAATGTTGGCAGAAAGTACCAAGTTTGCAGATCATGTGCACGTCTTTCCCGAGTTAGTCAGAGAGCAAGAAGACACATGCATGAAACCCAATAAATAAGTGATTCATCTGATGAATTTATTTCCTAATTCATGGGAGACCTTTACATCTTCCATCTCAGCCAGAAGGAAAGCACCAAAACTAGAGGAGCGCATCACTACAATCAAAGCAGAAGAGGAGAGGAAAAATTCAAGGCAACTACTGACAACAACTCCAAGGGAAGCCGTGTATATGGTAAAATCTCCACTTTCTTTTAAATTTAAGAAAGGAAATGGAAGAAATAATTTTGAAAAGAAAAGATATTTCAAAAAGAGAGGTTTTGGAAATAAGAGAGCAATGAGAGAGACTCAAACTTGCTTTATTTGCAAGAAGGTGGGCCTCATAGCCAATGGTTGTCGGTTCACCAAATCGAGAGGGACCAATAAAGAATTGGCATGTGTGGTTTTTGAATCTATGCTGGCTGACCCAAGGGAGCTTCTTGGTGTTTTGACTCGAGGGCTACGGCTCATGTCACAAACACTAAGGATGGTTTCCGTTCTTTCACTCCTATGTGGC